AATCCCATCACAGAGTCGATTGCCAGTCATTGTAGGGAATGGCTGCCCAGCCAAGTTGATACCTGACCTTAACTACCACACCACCCCAAACAGGCATGGATAATGGGATTTACGAAACATCACAGAATGGAGGACAATGGCTAGAAGGGCCACATCAAGCAATTCACTGCAGAACTGAAGTGCTCTGAACACTCCTGCCAGTGTGGACTTATAGGATCCCTGGAAGAGTCCAAAGTGATGTCCCTGGGGTTGTTTATCCTATGCCTCAGAGTCTGCTGTGGATGTTGGGGTTGGGGGTGGGGGGTGGATCGTAGGGGTAGGGATGAGGTGAGTTGGGGGGATACATTTGTATTATCTGGACACTGTTGTTGTATACTGCCATCGATTTCGCTCCTGACTCATAGTGACCCCTCTTTGGGTTTCTGAGGCCATATCTCTACGAAAGTAGATTGCCCAGTCTTCCTTCCGAGGAGCGGTTGGTGGGTTTGAACTGCCAGCCTCTGGTTAGCAGTTGAGTGCCTTAGGCACTGTGCCACCAGAGCTCTGGGAAATGGCTCTATTAAGTGAGGTGTGCCCAGAGTGAGAAGGAGCACTGGTGGTGTAGTGGTTAAGTGCACGACTGAACCGAAAGGTTGGCCGTGCGGATCCACGCAGTGGCCCTGTGGAAGAAAGGATTTAGCAATCTGTTCCTGGGAAGATTATAGTCTAGGAAACCCTGGGGCAATTCTGCTCTACCCCATAGGGTCACTGTGAATCTACTTGGCGGCACCCCGCTGCAGCCCACTCTGGGGCTGGCATTGGAAAGGGACTCTCAGAATCCAGCAGTGGTGGGCTTGTTGCTACTTAGTTTGTATAAGCACAGATTTTTAGTCAATCTCTGGGCAGATTTTAATAGGTTAAGGATCAGATGAGAACATGACATTTAGGCAATAGTGCCTTATACTGTAAGTCGCTGGTATTAGAGAGTTCAAGTAACTAAAATAGCAGGCAAATGGTGTCATGGTGTGGGTGAGACTGAAGCCCCGTTCTGTGTATCCTGTAATACTATTTCATTACTGGTTGGTGTGACTTTCATCAGAATGGAAACAAATGGAGTGAATTCGTTTTTTTTTTTTTTCCTTCTTCTCCCCTGCCTGGTAATCAACAAAGAACATTTCCTTCCATATGTAAACATTTCCTTGACTTGTTACAATAGTGAACTTGTACAATATTTGTTCTGTGATTAACTTACTTCACTCAGGGTATGTCCTCCAAGTTCATCCACGTTGTGAGGCGTTTCATGGATTCTACAATATTCTTTAGTGTTGCATAGTATTCCATTGTGTGTGTGTGTGTCATAGTTTGGTTATCCATTCTTCTGTTAATGGGCACTTAGGTTGTTTCCATCTCTTTGCTATTGTGAATAGTGCTGTGAGGAACATGGGTGTGCATATATCTATTCGTGTCCTGCTTCTCACTTTTTTAGGATATGTATCTAGTGATGGAATTGCTGGGTCAAATGGTATTTCTGTTTCCAACTTTTTAAGGAATCGCCACACATTTTCCACAGTGGTTGTATCATTTCATAGTCCTACCAGCCGTGTATGAGAATCCCAATCTCTCCACATCCTTAGGAGCATTTGTTGTTTTCTATCTTGTTGAACTTTGATGTTAAAAAACCCCAGGAGTGGTCGTTATGAGCTGTGAGCCCGATCTCCAACTCAATAGCAGTGGGTTGCAGAATAGCTAATGATAAGGAGCTTTGG